GATCCACAGTGCTCACAGGATGTGGGTGCTGGACTTGCTGCGCCTCTCAAGGGGATCAAAGGCACATGAGATGTTGGCCTTTTGGATACCTGAGCGGCAATTGAGCAGCTAGCACAGAGGAAGGCGGGAGAAGGTTGAATGGATTACTTGAACTAACAGCAGCTGACAATCCTGGAAGTAGCTACCAAGCTGATGCTTGGAAGCTCTCAGCCATTTTTAACATCTATCACCAGAGAATGAAGAGGCGAAAACAACAGGGAACTTGGGTGATCATCTTTTTTGTGACACTCTTTTATCTTGTCTTGGTATAAAATTCAATTTGAAGCAAACACACGTATGAGGTATGAGTTCAGCTCCTCATGAAAAACTGTGTGAAGTTCATTGCAAATCTCGGCAGGCCCTAAACCCGATGCTGAACCAGGACGTGCAGGCATCTGCTGCTGAAAAGGCTATTTCAGGGAGATAGGACAACAGCATCAAGCGAATACATACCTGCTCCGAGACACTGGCCACAGGTTTCCGCTTAAACGGCACAGGTGCCAAACTTCCAGTTCCCCTTTTACAAGCTCTGCTAGGTGTTGTCAGATTCCAACCAGCTAATGAAACACAGTGCAGCAACTTGCACAAAATTGGCTCGCTTTTGACACATACTTCAAATGAGTCTTCCAACGAGCTGACCTGCAGATGAGCAGAAATGTTATGACGACATGATGTTTCTGTCAGGTGCCTAGCTTAACAGCCTGAAGAATTGAGCCCACACACACATCAAGCACGGCGCCTCCATATGAATCCACACAAAGCCATAAGCGAACCCCTACAGTGCCAGATTAGCATACAGCTCACACACCAATTTGCTATGGGAACCTCAGGCCAGCCACAGTCAGACGATACAATATTGGGGGCCACAGTCAGTCTAGCATGGATGAAGTGCAGAATGGATGGAAAGCAATAACTCACCACAAGTGGCAGATGAACCACAGTTCGAGCATTAACCAGTTCACAAAGGCTTAATAGCAGCTCCAACTGCACCTGCATGCCCTCACATGAAAAACCAGATGAACTCCATCACTTCCCGGCAATGTACACAGACAAAATTTCAGCCCCACAACCAACAAATGTTACCTGACTCATACCTCCTTTCCTAGGCAGAGATTTCCTTCTCTTATTTTATTTTTCGCTTTTCGTTTTGGAAATGAAAGGCAGCCCCTGACATTAGTATATCCACCAGGACCACAAGGATGAAAACTCATGATTAATCATTGATAGTTAATAGTATGCCGTTCAGCCCACAATTCTGCGTAGTGTTTATCACGCTACATCGATCTTTCTCGAGCATGCTCCATTTATCTTTCTCCAGGAGAGTGACTATCCGGTGTGCCACAAAGTGGGAACGACAAAAAGTGCCTCCAGGCCCTCCACCGAGTTTGGGATGAAATACGCATGACACTTCTCCCAAATCCTGACAGTTTGACTCAGGCTGCCTCGAGCTCAGACTTGAGCATTCATACTTTTTATAGTTCAACTTTCAAGTGATGATACTATGGAAGCTTTTTTTATACTTTTACTAACTGATTTATGTATTGGATTTCATTCTCCTCAAGGATGGGAGGTATTAATTGAACTAGTTTGGGAGCATTTTGGATTTGTGCCTAATCAGTATATTCCTTCTTTTTCTGTATCTACTTTTCCAGTTATATTGGATACAATGGTGACGTATTAGATTTTTCGACATTCGAATCGTATATCACCATCTATAGTAGTTAGCTCTTTTCACAAGTAACCATAGTCAAGTACTGGGAATCAACGAAAAAGGTGGATCTCTTGATGAGCAGATCATCTGGATGAAAGCCAAATGTGTTGTGGAGCACTTCACACCATGTTCCCCAACACATCATGGACACTTTTTCCCATGACCCAGTGTGCCTACCAATTCAATCCAGTGCTCAACAACTACACCCCACATTAAACTAGTACATGACACCATGCCATTGTTTCCAAGCCACTAAAAGCTCAATGAATTGGCATTCACAATTCATCATATTCGAGTTCAATTGTGAGGAGTTGAACTCAAGTCTGAGTGCATTCACACTTTGCCATACTAAACAATAAATTAGCTCAGTTTTGTGCACGGGGTGCGATACCTCAATTCTAGAGTGTTTGCCCATGGGGTGACAATGTGACAGTTTCTGTGCGTAGAATACTTGAAAGTTGTTCGAGCACATCCCCAAGAGGGTCTCCAAAATAGTTCCAAACGAGTTGGTGAAATCACCAGGATGTGGGCAGCAGGACGCCCTGCTCCCATCACCAGCCATTCTTCACTAACCGCTCTTGCGCTTTTTTTTTAGAGTGTTTTCATGCTTCATGTCTGGGCGCCTGGCTTCTGCTGGGTTCCTTATTTTGTTAACACGACAGAAGGTTTCTTTTTGTCTATGGTGTGTCTATGTCTGTGTTTTGCCTCTCAATTATTTGTGTATAATGACTGGGAGCGCAGCGCCACCACCTTTTTGCTCTTATCTGCGTCTCGCTTCGGCGTGACACGGGCCCGAACACGAACTGACCGGTCAACTGGTCTTTCATCTGTTCTAGCTCACTTCAGCTCGGAATCGTATTCTAGTCAACCTCTGGAGCTCATTTATCATGAGCCAGAAAGTATGGGCACATTAGTTGGCAGGTCGCAAAGTTTGTAACTACCCTCACACTCTGCACCATATTCAACACCACATCATCCCACCCCTATAGTCTTACTGTTAATCAAGTCAAAAATCACTGTTGAGTCGTTGATTTGAAGAAATTTGCGCTCGCGCCTTCGTTTAGCACGTAACGCATCACAGCCCTAATTTGCGCTAGTCCCCGTCGGCGAGGCCCGCTTGGGCCTGCCCGCGCGGCTCGACCCGTGCCAACCTGCCTCCCGCACGCCCGCCCCGCCCAAACTTCGAATATGAAGTGGCTAGCGTGAACCACCATCGCCGAAGCCCTGGAGGGGGGCCGACTACACCGCCCAGCCACCATCCCCTAAGCTCATCGTCGGAGCTCATCGACGAAACCCATCGTCGGAGCTCATCGACGAAACCCATCGCCGGAGCCACCATCGCCGCAGCCCTTCGTCGGAGCCCATCGTCGAAGCCTCTCTGTCAGAGCCTCATCAGTGAAGCTCATCGTCGCTGCCTCAGCTTCGAAGCCTCATCCTCGAAGCGTCATCGCCGAAGCTTGAAGAGCCCCGGAGACTCCTCCAAGCTGTTCCTCGACCCCGGGCGACCCCATGCAGAATCACCCCCAAAGATAAGTGTACCCAAATCCTAAGACCTCTCCACGTCCCACTGAACCCCTGAACTACTCAATATCCCCCAAAGCTAACCCATTACATCCAACCCCCGGCCCCCCTCCCACCAATCGCTAACATCAGTCATCAAACTCCCTTACGACCGAAGTCTTCACCCGAACCATCCACGTGTGCATGCTGAGCCTGGATCCGAATGGTCCCGACTGGCCACGTGGCTGAGCCCACCCCACCTTTCAACCCCCAACACCCTCCTCCCCCCACCTTCTCCCCTTGCCTCCAAGCTTCCCCCAGCCCCCCACCTCACATCGATCCTAGCCCAGCTACCAGCCCATCTCTCAAAACCTCCCACCGCCCCGCCACTCACCACAATCCAATCCAAGCTAATCCAAACTGCCTCCCGCCACACGCACTTCCCCCCCCGCCCATTATCAACCCGCCCACCTAGCCCCTCAACGGCCCGACTCCCCCGTCTTCCTCCCGGTCCCTGCCACGTGCAAGGAAAAGGAGCGACAAGAACGTAATAGCGAAACTGAAAAACGATAAAAAAGGTTAAAAGAGATTAAAGTTCATTAAACGATCCGACCACGTAGACCGAAGAAGGAAAAAAAAAGAAGTAAAAAACAAATACAATAAAAACAGTTGACACCCCCATTTTACACACCACTTCTAAATCACGACCCATAACCCCATCTTCGAACCACAGGCTCACCCCCCAACACTCCCCCGACCAGATCGAAGAAAGTTAAAAAAAAAAAAAAAAAAAAAAAAAAAAAAAAAAAAACACAAAAACCCCCCCCCCCCCCCCAAAAAAAAAAAAAAAAAAAAAAAAAAAAAAAAAAAAAAAAAAAAAAAAAAAGGTTCTCTGAAAAGCTCCCTGCTTTTCAACCCATCAGGGAAGCATCAGAACCATGAGCTCATGGCGGTGACTTTCCAACGCCGCTTCTCGTCGGTGGTACAAACCACCCCAAATTGAGCAAACAACAACGCGTCAAAAACAGACAGCTTCACAGTCGACCACGAAACCCTCAGATTCTTGATGGAGTCACCACAGATTAAGGGCGAAAAGATCGTCAGAAAAGTCGTGAACAATGGAGTGGAGGAAGAAGTAACTGCATGGAGCTACCCCAAAGAAAAGCTGGTTGACACCAATGCAGGAGCGCGACTCCCGGCAGTGGAGAAATGGAAATGGCTGTCCATAACAATTCAGTCCCACAAATCCATCAAAATGACCGCAAACAGATTCTCGATCCACAACCTGAAGAGGAACATGATGATGGTAGTATTCACGGACGCCAACCAGGCGTCCCATCTGATCGACAGGCACGACACCTTGAACTGCAATGGTTCGGTCTGCTCCCTATCTCACTAGAAGCCCGAGATAGTTCTGAAAGCAGAAATCTCGCCGGCCCCATCGCGAACAATTCTGGGTACAATTCGAGAAGATACCGATCAGACGCCACCCCCTCATCAAGGATCGGCTCGAGGTTGAATACCCAGCAAACAAGATTCTTAAGTGGGTCCTCCCCACCCCAGACTTCTTGTCACCCGACTGCGACACCATGACAACGATTATGGAAGTTCACACTGACGAACCTCCAACCTTACCAAAGGAATGAGAATGCATCATCCACGAGAAGTCCTAGACGGTGGTGGTATCTATGAAATCAAACCCAATTTGCTTTCGTTGCAGAGAGAGAGGCCATTTGGGAACCGACCCCAGATGTCCCCGATCACCCGACCACACAAGAGAGAAAAAACTAGGGCAAAGCATGCTCGTCGAGGTCGAAGAAGCCAAAGGCATCTGGTTCGTTAACGACCAAGAATACGATGGTTGGGTCTTTGACGACACCATCCAATATGGACATACAGCAACATGAAACCAGCGACCAAACAGCCAGACATCTTCCCCCCATCAGACAGCAAATGGCACGAGGTGGGAGCCAAAAAGGTCACTGGCTTGCCAGGTAAATTTCACTCCGACCCATTGGTCGACCCTCGAGCGATCCAGGAAGAAAAAAAGCATGAAGATCTGTTTTGGGATTTGGAATCGATCAGACATCAAATCGCCGAATCATTCCAGAATCCAGATGATGACAACAAGCGCCTCCAAATGGCCACACAAATCATCGAGGAAAGATACCCAAGACCTGACACCGCCCTCGAAAGACAGGCCTCCCCCCAAAAAGAGCACACAGATGACAGGGCAGGTAAGAAAAAGAGAAGGGAAACAGAACCCCACTCAGACCTATCCACAGGCACCTCCCTCACAGACGGAACAAGCAATAAACCCCAAAAATCAGAGAGGGATGGACATCTCTCCCAAGAAGAACGATCAAGAAAAGGAGACGTCCCCAATCCCATGGCTGAGAGAATACCTGGAAAAATCCAAGTACGAAAGGAAGAAAGAATTTGACATCCGAGTGGCCTGCATGAAACACATGGAGAAAACAAGCAAATCCGGCACAGGCCAAAAATTCCTTCAACCTGCTGCTGCGGCAAAAGAGCGAACTGTCGGAATTCACCGCCTTTAGGTACCACGAGAAGAAGAGGGAAAGGGAAGCAGGTTCCTTTGACTCCGACTCAGGTCAGGAGACGCAGACCTTGAGAGACTCAATAAGAGGCATGGCCCTGAAAAATTGGAAACCGTCCAAGGGCAAAGAAAAGAAACTCAGGAGACCGTCAAACGACACCAAAGGTCAAAAAAGTGAACAGAGACAAATCACACAAGAAATCGCGACGGTAGCAGCACAGACAAAATGTTTGTTCAAGCAGAACGCGGATTACAGGAAAGGACACGAAACAAAACTCATTACCATCCAGAAAATCGTTGAGGACACAACCCCCACCGTCACTTCGACAACAAGGACAGACAAAAGAACCATCGGACCAGTCCGCCCCCTAGTCCCAGTACGGTTCAGGAGCAGATTCAATGAGTGGCAGGTAGCGACAGTACGGTTCAGGAGCACATTCAATGAGTGGCAGATAGCGACAGTACGGTTCAGGAGCACATTCAATGAGTGGCAGGTAGCGACAAAGGAGTCCTTTGCCATGCCCACCATCAGCGATAGTCGAGCCCTGGCCAAATGCATCAAGGACCACATCTGCACGAACTGCCCCATGGGAGTCTACGAGGTCCCCCAATACGATACAACTACGACCAGTGGCAGCAACACTGCAGAGGACAACCGCAAATCATTCGGCCCATTCTGGTCAAACTAGACGAGAGAGCCAAACTTCGGGAAGGCCTCTCCTAGAGAGTTTGGAACACCATCACAACAGTCCCCTACAGTGTGCTCGTGAACAGATTATGCTCGGCAGAAGTGATGGCGGACTCGCTGGCCGTCATAATCAAGACTCACCTCCTCACCTCGAAGAACTACTTGCAAGAGGAGGCAATGCCGGTACACGTCGAACTGGTGGACAATGACAGCGGAGAGGACGAGGAAGATGAGATGTTGGACAGCGACAAGACCTCCCCAAGGTGACGAAGGCTTGGCTGGCCCACCCCTACCGGAGGGCAGCGTGAAGGCGTATAGCCTTGACCCGTCGGCCAGCAAGGAGGACAGTGGGGGATCTGATATCGAAAGCCGTAAGACAGCGGTAGACTAGGCATCTTCACCAACTTCACCAATTAGCATACGACTAACTCCTCCATTAAAACAGACATGAAACAACATCACCGCAGAGAATAGCCATGAAAAGAAAGACACAGTAGGTCAAACAGCCGAGGATGCAAAGTCAATCTACAAACGCCGTCACATCACAATATAATAATATCACAACAGATTGGCAAGCCAAAGGACTCGAAATCATCAGCTGGAACGTCAATGGGCTGGGTAATGCACTGACAGAGGAAGATAAATCAAGGGATATCCGGTCCGGTCTCTACAACAGGAACAGACCCAGACGAGATGCGTTTCTTCTCCAAGAAACGCACCTATCTAATCTCCCAAACCACAGGAATATAAAAAGGGTAATAGAGAAAAGCCTAGGGGGTTGTGCTTTCACACTATGGTCCAACCTCGAAGGGCTCAGCACACGGGGGACAGCTATACTCGTACCTAACGCTTCCAAACTATGGTCAAAAGGTCAGATTCTCAGCAATGCGGGAGACAACGCAGAAGGTAGATGGTCATGGCTAGATATCAGATGGCAAGACAAGGAACTGAGAATTCTTAACATCTACGCCCCCGACTCACAAAACGAACGCCTAGCCTTCTTCAGCAGCATCCACTCCCACATCCCGAATCCTCAACCGGTAATCATCACAGGCGACTGGAACACGACCTTGGATCCAAACCTGGACCACATCTCTCTATCTCAACTAATAGGCCCAACAAGAGCAGGAACCCACATAAGAAACATCATGACAGAATTAGACCTCATCGACCCCTTCAGAATGCTGCACCCAAAGAAAAATGCCTTCTCACTGGTAAAAAAGAACCAGGCCAACCGAACGTTGTTGTCCCGGATCAACTTCTTCCTAATCTCCAAGCACCTCCAATGAACAATCAAACAGGCTGAGATCCACCCACCAGCGGCCTTCCAAGGTTTGGACCGCAAGCCAGTAGAGCTGCTCCTAAACTTTGACTCCCCCACGGAAAAAGGTCGAGGCTTCTACAGAATCCACAACTCCCTCTTAACCACACAAAGACTAACAGAGGCAGTCAGACGGAACTGGTTCTTCTTGCAACAGAACAGTGCCAGACAGGACAACAGGCATCAATGGTTCACAGACAGTTACACAGACCTCACCCAAACAGTCTTAGCGAAATCCAAAAGCATTACACGAGAACGTAAAATCAAAAAAGAAGAACTCCAACTCGCCATATCTCTCGCGGAGGACAATCTTGCCACAGACCCTTCAAACGCTTTCTACGACCAACTACTCGAATCAG